TTGATGATATGCTAATAATGAGCAAAGATATTGCCGACATTCAAGCTACTAAGCGTATGCTTGCTAGTAAGTTTGATATGAAAGACTTAGGAGTTGCCAATGTAATTCTAGGAATTAAAATCCAGAGGACTCCTCAAGGTCTAGCTTTGTCTCAATCACATTACGTGAAAATGATACTTGAAAATTCAAACACTTGGAATTTAAAAGTGCAAGAACTCCAATTGACTTAAACCATCATCTTATAAAGAATAAAGGTGAAAGCACGTCTCAATTGGAGTATGCTCGTGTGTTGGGAAGCTTAATGTATATCATGAACTGTACACGTCCTGATATAGCTTGTGCAATAAGTAAACTTAGTCGATTCACAAGTAATCCCATCAAACATCACTGGGTGGCAATGAAACGAGTTCTGGGATATTTGGAATATACCCAAGACTACGCTTTACACTACAATATACATCCTGCGGTTATCGAAGGATATAGTGATTCAAATTGGATAACCGGCTCAACAGAAACAAAGTCCACAACTGGATATGTTTTTACTGTTGGTGGAGGAGCAGTATCTTGGAAGTCTTCCAAACAGACGTGCATCGCTCGCTCTACAATGGAATCAGAGTTTATAGCTTTGGATAAAGCCGGTGAAGAAGCTGAATGGCTTCGAAATTTCTTAGAAGACATTTCGTTCTGGCCAAAACCTTTGGCTCCTATATGCATACATTGCGATAGTGAGGCTGCAATAGGACGGGCAGGAAGCGTTATGTATAACGGAAAGTCTCGTCATATACGACGAAGACATAACACCGTTAGACAACTACTTTCTAGTGGAATTATCACTATTGATTATGTAAGATCAAAGGATAATGTGGCGGATCCGCTTACAAAAGGCTTAACTAGAGAGGGAGTTGAGAAATCATCTAAGGGAATGGGACTATGGCCGAGGACAAGTCAACATGGCGGTAACTCTACCTAGAATTTTGGATATTCCGAGATCTAGGTTCAAGGAGCTCAAACAAAGTTGTGATTGACCGGTTCAACATTGTCAAAGTAAAATCTTTGGTCCCTTCTCGTGATGAAGACAATGTTCAGTAACAAGGATAGAATTTTACACGTTCTTTAATGATTACCTAAGTTTGATGTGGTATTTATCAAATAGTGTCAATCTAAAGGATTACACGTTTAGGAATCACCTATGTAAGTGTGAAGTGGATGCCGCTTCAATGAGAATTCTGTAAAGCCAATTCTCTACGCACTTATGAAACCAGGCGGTGTTCATGGCTGAAACGAACACAACAATGAGAGCCAAAAGACGGTTAAGGGTTGGTTGTGTCACATATGGTTGTCTAGGTATACACTAAAGTTCGACGGTTCAAAGATATCAAATCTACCGATTGACCGAGTATATCCGACATATGTTCACTACGGAAAGTTCAAAGGGAAACCTACTTATCCAGATGCAATTAATCCTTACTTGCAAATCACACAGCTTTCATCTATGATCATTCTTGTTACATCCATTCCCATTCATGTGGGGGATTGTTGGACTTCAAAGGCATTGAGCTTCAAAGACTTTAAGCATTGGGCTTTAAAGTATAAGAGTGTGAATTGGAAATGGCGGGAAATAAAATGGAGCGAAATGAAAATTTGAATGAAGTGAGCTTTTGACTTGCACTTTGTCCCTCATTGGTGAGGGACAACTACATTTGTGTGCTTATATATAGAATCACTTCTTAAAGCTCTTAAAAGGAGTTGAAGAGAATGAACCCTCGCGCCGTCGTCGTCGCTCGGCTCGGCTTCGGCTTTGGATTTGGATTTGGATTTGTCAAATGATCGATAAGATTATTTTTTGGACAAAATTTATTTAATTAATTATTTAATAATTAATTAAATGCCAGATCACTGCTGAAGATTCAGAAGGATAGTCTGGCCGCGGTCCTGGCGTAACCGCGGTAGGACCGCGGCTGGACGCGTAAAATCTGAACAGACACCTTTTCAGAACAGACATCACACCTCTTCCAATAATTGCCTATAAATTCTGAGGCATGACTTCGTTTTTAATATACAAAAACACACCAAAAACATTACAGAACTTCCTTCTTTCTCAAAATACTGCATTCTAATTCGCAGTCTCTCTCTCTCAAATTCGTAAGTGTGATTTTGCTCCGTTCTTTAAGTTCGTTGGTATCCTGCAGTTTGTATTGCCACTGTTGCAGGAAGGTTTATTCCGTTTTATCCTGGGAGGATTTAATCCATTACCTTGGCAACGTGTGAGGGGGTTAAAATTCCTTAAGGACGCACAAGCAAATTGTGGACTCGGAATATTTCTTAATCCCTACTGTTTTTCCAGTTTCTTTTATTATTCTAACAGTTTTTTCTGATTTTTTTACACAGTAGCAACAACACTTACGTGGGGTTGAACAAGTCCAGTCAATGGCTTCTTTTTATGTGATGACAATAATATATCTTATTTCTCTTGGTAGTTAAATGATGCATCTTTATCTGTCTTTTGTCTGTATTACAAGAGGAAAGTCCACCCTTGAATTTGAGTAGGTTGAACTGTTAATTAAGTTTACTTCGAATATGGAAATACAGCTCATCGACCTATAAAATTGTGTACCTTTATATACATATACACTCGCACATGTCTTCTTCAACAATATTGTGCAGGTTTTGTTATGCGCTTGGCGTATATTGTGCTTAACTATATTTTGTTTGAGAAGGTGATACAAGTTGTGCGACAACAATGGTTTACAGAATCTTATGTAATTATTCCTGCTTCCCACATTTTTGTGAGCTATGTCTGATTATCAAGTTGCATATCAGCTTTTTAATCCATGCTTGCTGAACTCTTTACAGCTTGCCTATGCCCACCTAACAGAGACGGCTTTGGGATAATTTCTGCTGTTCCTTACGATTATTTCATCAATTTGTTTTAGTTTTTTTACAAAGAAATGTTATTCTGGTCATACCTTCTGACTCATGAGATGATAACATGTGGATTTTGAATTTCTTTGTTGTTGTAGCCATTACTTGGGCCAATTTCCCCGTGCATTATGCTCTGTGGATGTTGATGGTGTATTTGACTGATGTATGGAAGGTCAAACTCACAGATGCGGCTGCAATTGTCAATGTCTTCCTTGGTTTGCAAGCAATCCCTCAGTCAGTCTTGCTGTTTTCCGCTCATGGTCTATTCGGCAACTATCCAGTGCTATTGGGTTCTATTTTCGCCTGTTGTGTGGTACATTTTTCTTTGTTAAATTATTTAATTCCTGCATTCTCCTCTGTAATTTGAAATATTTACCCAATTCACAATCGAGCTCTTGGTCCTGTTAGCTTGAGTTAGTTTGCACCCTCTTTTCTAACACCGCATTGCTTGAAACACATTTGATGGAAGTATGGTCAAGCTGCTCGTCTGCAGTGATTTCTGTCCATAGGTCTTGCAACAAACTAATGGAGAAAGATGTCCCTTAACTGTCGCAGTAATATATGCTTGCAGATGTATAATATGTTGATTTTCTGTTGTTTGTATTGCTAAATTGGTACTAATTAGTAGAACTCAATAACTCAATCCTTATGCATTGCCAAAGAAATTTCAAGGCCAATTGTAACCGTTAGGATAAAGATTAACTCGGAGATAACCTAGTCCTCTTGAAGCTCAAGGCTGAAAAATCTAGGACTGACTCCGATTTGCTAGTTACATCTTGTTATGGACTAAATCTCTTCAAATTTGTGTAATATTAATCTGCTACAATTTAGGTATCTGTTGCTTCGATGAAAAAGGGTGGGTGTCTCAAGTTTCACAATCTAATAATTTCCCATGACAATTTTCTTCCTGTTTATGTCCATGCATCACAACATCAATTTGTGTCATACATTTCCAATTGCTAAGATCTCTTTCCTGAACCTCTAATATATTTGATGCAATTCTGTCCAAGACACCTGAAAGAAACTGGTTAAATCTCTACAAAACTCTGATGCTTAGATCTCATCCTCTTGTGGTGCGAGCTCTAGAATGGCCAAAGCTAAAAATGAATATCACAGATTTAATTTTTTGAATTAAGTCCTCAACATGCCCCCTCGTGTGCGGGCCTGATTCTTTTTCATAGGCCAAGCACGTGAAAATTCTTTTTGATAATGGGTGGCGCTGAGACTTGAACCCAAGACCACTGCCTGCGCTTATACCTTGTTGAATTTGTGTGAGCATCTGACCGTTTAAGTTGTTAGAAAGAGAGCACATTTTTTTAATTATGTCCTCAGCAAAAGGGAAATTCACTATCGGTTAAGTCTGAGTCTCTTTTTGTGCTAAATTAGGATTTGTTTCCAACAGTACTAACTCAAAACTTTGATGTTTCAATTTACTAAACCAGAGAATCTGTTAGTGCGAACCCATGAACATTTTTAATGCTTAGAACTCTTATCCAAATTTCTTGACCTTCTCTTACTGATTTTTACAATCCAAGAACTCTTACCCAAAATGGGGTATAATTTGAAATTCACTTTCAGTTAAGTCTTGAAAGTTTCTTGTATGTAGGGCATGGGTTTTTTAACAATGTCCACACCGCCAGTCCTTGCTAAGGCTACTGGAACGTGCAGTGCTTATCAGCCTGAATGCATTGGCGAAGGCCAGCGCATACTCTTCTACATAGCATTGGCTCTGTCTGCTCTTGGGGCAGCTGGTCAAGCAGTAAGCTTTCCCTCTTTCCTAGTTGAGCAACTTGGAGAAAATGCTAACATGCCTTGCATCTGGTTTCTGCAATGTTTTGCGGTGATTCTGTTCAAAGCTGCTGCTGTTTTGGGATTTTCATACATATCACCATGGTCACTTTGGTTTGGTGTCCCAGCAATATGTTACACAGTGGCAGCCTTTATTTTCTTGAGCGGATCTTGTATCTATAAATATGTTAAACCAGAAGGTAGCCCTATCACTACTTTATTCCGGGTCTTAGCAGCGTCTATCTCCAAGTTATTCTATCAACTGCCAACAGATGCGTCGCAGCTGTATAACGTATCTGACCGTAATAGACAATACGTGCCTCACACCAATGGCCTAAGGTCCTCTCTCGCTCTCTCATTGTCTGTGATTTCCTCCATTTGTGTTTGCCTTACACTTGAGGAAAATCTCAAGTTTCAGTCCATGTTTCTTTATTTTTTTCCATGATCTTTTTTGCTACCCATCTCTACCCTTGTCCATTGTGAATGTGATCTATTACAGACTTGATGTCACAAGTCAATAGGATCCTCCTCGTCTTTTTCTCAATTGCTGTCTATCATGGATTAGTGTATTTATATTAGAGTTGTACTAACACAAACTATTGTGCAAAACTCAATTCAGGTGTCTAGACAAGGCTGCAATTATCTTGCCCGACCAGACTCTGGAGGAGCAACTGAGGAATAGATGGAGGCTTTGCAGCATTGCTGAGATTGAAGTCACTAAATTTGCAATTCGCACATTCCCTATGTCAGTGACCTTCATTCTTGCGGGGGTTATGACTTCTTTGTCGTATACCTACTTTCTGGAGCAAGCAAAGACTATGAACAACAAGGTTGGAAACCTAAGAATTCCTCTAGCTGTATTCCTTTGGTTCCAGTTAGAAGCAAGAGAAAAATTTCCAAAACTATATCACATACTTGTGAATTGGCGATGGGGTTCAGAAGCAAAACCATCAGCTCCTAGAGTGGGGGTTGCAGTATCCATCATTTTGGGTGTATTATGCACTATTACTGCTGCAAAAGTGGAGTCAAGAAGACTCGCTGTGGTAAAGAGCTATGGTTTAGCAGGCGAGACCGATGAAAAAATTCCAATGACCGTGTTCTGGCTGCTGCCACAGTATCTCCTTCTTGGGGCAGTAGACGGGATGTTTGCAAAGAGCTTAAATAATTACTACAGTAATTACTTTGAGCCCATATCTGCGTCGTACATGCTCAGTGGATGCAATCTGATGCACGGGTTAGGATGTATGAGCAACATTTTGTTAGTGTACATAGTGAGTAAGGTTAGTCGGAGGGGAAATAAACTAAGTTGGTTTCAGGACACCCTGAATAAGAGTCGACTTGATAAGTATTACTGGACTCTGTCGTGGCTATTAGCTATTGCATTTGTTTTGTTTGTTGTAATTAGTCTGTGGTATGCATATAGGCGATCAAAAGAAGAAGCACGAACAGTGTACATCGAACGAAGTGTTACCCATATTGGGACTGAAACAATTTATGAGATGACATATAGAGTGGGAAACAGGCGCAATAACGGTACCATCGTTGACATGTTTCCTTCTTTTGGGTAATGACATGTTTTTTGGGAATGATGGTGGTTGTAACACATAATCTGCTGAAGCGCATTCCATATCTTTTATAGTAAAGAACTACTACCTTTTTTAATCCTATGCATCATTCCTTTGGTTTAAACTAAGGGTGTTTAACGGGTGGGCCCGGCCGGGCTGGGTTGGGATTTTTTGTATCCGTACGGGTTATGGTCCGGGCCGGATATGGGTTGGGACTTACCGGGTTTAACGGGTTCGGGTTCATCCTGATAAAAATTGAACTGTAAGGGTCACGGGTTGAGGGGGCCGGGCCGGGTTTAGTGTATTTTTTAATTTTTTTTTTTTGTATTTTGTATAACTATTGTAAGTTATATTAATACTTTGTATTAATATAAAGAATACAAGGAAGATGGAAAAAAATTGTACTTATAAATTGCAAGTGCTACATTTATTTCAAAATTCAAACTTACAAATTGAAAAGTTTACATTTTAACAACAGGTAAATTAACCCAAAAAAGAGTAAAATTCAAAGGTTTTGCATTGACCTTGTAAGTTATTCATAATCAATATGAATTGAGTGACCTTCTTCTGGAGTGTTAAATTCGGATGGGTTACCATGTGTTAATATATCTCCAAGTTCCTCGTCTTCTGGGCTATCAACATCTTCACGTCCTTGATTTCTTCGTTCCGATATAATTCAATCTCTGAAACATACTAAAATTTTCAAAGCATTGCTTCCCAATGAGTGACGGGTGTCTCCAAGTTGTTGTCTTGCTTGGCTAAATGCACTCTCTAATGCAACAGTTGAAATTGCCCCATTCAGCATGTCCCGAGTCATAGCGAAAAGAACAGGAAATTGCTTTCCATTCTCATGCCACCATCCCAACGGTGAAAATTCCTTTGTGCGAGGCTCTTTTTGCTTCTGCAAGTAGAATTGAAGTTCATCAATGTTCCTGCTACTGGTTTGAGTGTTAGAAAATGTAGAAAAAATATTAAAACTATCAAGGCCTTCTTCATCATCCACTGTAGCAGAAGTGTTACAGTGCATAGTGGGATTAACATTGCCTACACTACAAGCATCATCATCAATTACATTTGCTTAATAATTATATAATTGTTGTAAATATTCATTTAACTTGTTCATACAATTATATAAATCCGGGGTTTCAGTTGGTCCAATCTCCATATAAGTATATAAAGCATTTATTAATTGGTGACAATCAGACATCTTAATAGAAGGATTTAAAACAGCACCAATTAAGTAAATCGGAGGAATTGGAAAGAAATATTTTTTGAATTTTGCTTGCATTTTTTCCACAACATCCTTATATTGTTCTTTCTTCTTAAATTCAAAGAGTAGAAAAGAAATTTCAGCTATATGTACTAAAGCCATAGTAACAGTAGGGTAATATGCTCCAGAAAACTCAACAGTAGCTGTATAAAATTTATGTAAAAATTTAACAACATCATTAATGACCTCCCAAGTAGTAGTTGTTAACATACGGTTTGGATCAGTACAATGCGCATTAGCAACTTCAGTTATTGGGAATCTATATTTGTAGCAACATTTTAAAGATATATATGTATAATTCCATCCAGTAACAATTTCGTCTGGCATGAATCTGGGTTTAAGGTTATACTGGACACACTTATTCTTAAATTCCTTTATTCTAGATTGTCTATTATTTCCTTGAATAACACCAACTGCTCTTCTAACATGAGTAATCTCAGTTGAAAATAAATCAAGGCCACTTTTAACAATTAAATTATAAACATGACATGCACACCTAACATGAAAAATTTCATCAAGAGGTGGTTGCAAATGCAGTTTTAATATTGAAATTGCGGCATTATTGTTAGAAGCATTATCAAAAGACATACACAATACTTTTTGCTTGAGATTATAAAATTCAATCCAACTTCACAAATAGTACTACTTATAAACGCAGCAGTATGACTCTGATCTTCATCATATTTAAAAGCGATAATACCTTTTTGCATACAAGTAGTATCATCTATCCAATGACATGTAATTGTCAAATAATCATTTCCATTAACACCATGGCCAATATCTGAAGTTAGAGAAACTCTACAAGGAAGGTGGCTAAACAAATAACATATGTATGTTTGATATTGTCCATGAAGTCTAAAGATATCAGCTCTACAAGTACTTCTAGGGATACCTTTAAATAAAGGATTGTAAATCCTTTGAATATACATAATAAGATATGATGAAGAAGCAAAAGAAAAAGGTAGACAACCCAAAGCAATCATTTTTGCTAACTCCTCACGATCTTTCATTTTATCATATTTCACAAGACCATCAGTAGTAGGGTTTAGAGTTGATTGATTTCTATCTCCATCAGATCCCCATTCTATAGGATGCTCAATTCTCATATGTCTACTAAGTGTCCCAGTCCCCCTAATTGTCCCCCGGTCTTATGTTTAAAAGTATTATTACAAAGTTTGCATTTAACTCTATCAGTACCTTCTATTTCCTCAAAAAATTTTCAAACCTTACTTCTTTTTCTACGATTACTAGTCGGGGCCACAGGTGGTCTACTACTAACACCACGACCACCACCCCTGCTAGCAGCTCCAACACTACTAGGTGTAAGTGGTAACTCATCTTCCATTTCTAAAATTCCGTGAAAAATGCTAAATTTTGATATTAAATTGAATAAAATTTGAATTCGGTCAACATTTTAGGTAAACGGACCCGGACCCGTGATTTGATGGTCCCGGAGGGTCCGTAGAAAAATATGGGACTCGGGCGTATGCCCGGAATCGAATTCCGAGGTCCCAAGCCCGAGAAATGAATTTTTGAGTAAAATTATTTTTCTGAAATTATTAAGGAAAATGTAAATAAAAATTAATTAGAACGTGTTGGTATCGGGCCCGTATTTTGGTTCCGGCGCCAGGTACAGGTCTTATATGTGTTTTAAGATATTTCTGTGAAGTTTGGTTGGAATCGGACGTCGTTTGACGTGTTTCGTACTTAAAACTCTAAATTTGAAAGTTATGAAGTTTGATGAAAAACTAGTGATTTTGAGGTTTGATTCATTGATTTTGATGTTATTTTGGCGATTTGATCGCACGGTTAAGTTCGTAGGATGTTGTTGAGTTAGGGTATGTGATTGGTTAGGAGCCCCGAGGGCTCGGGAGTGTTTCGGAGGTGTTCCGGGAGGTTTTAGAACTTAGAAAATTTGCAGAAAAGTCTGCAACAGGTGCCCAGTCATTTCCTTCTTCGCGATCGCACTCTCTCTCCCGCGTTTGCGAAACATCAGAATTTCCTTCATCGCGTTCGCGTACAATATCTCGTGCTCGCGTAAGCCAAATAAGGGACCCCAGTATTTTCCTCTTCACGTTCGCATTCAACTGCTACCGAACGCGTAGCCTTGCAGCTTTCTTCATCGTTACGTGTGGGCCTTCACGCGTTCGCATAGAACAAATCCTGGACCCCCAGCTTTTCTCCTTCGCGTTCGCATCCTCCCAATCGCGAACGCGGTGACCTGCCCAGTCACCCTTCGCGAACGCATCCCTCTTTCCGCGAACGCGAAGGGCAAATTTCGCCCAGTTATATTTAATTCCCAAAACAGTGTATTCGCGGACCATTCACAAAAGCACCCGAGTTTCATCTTCTCCAAGGTCCTTAGGCATCCATTGAAGCTCCCTTTCATCAAGACCACTTGGGTTAGTAAATTCCAACTTGTTTTCTTTATTTTCCATCATTAATTATTCAATTCCTAAGCTCAAATCATGTAGTTTAGGGTGGAAATTGGGGGAAATGGGTAGAGTTAGGGTTTTCTATATTTTTCTTGATTTAGACCTCGTTTTGGGGTCGAATTTGCAAACAAATTATATAGTCGGGCTCGTGGGTGAATGGGGGATTTGATTTTGGTCCGAACCTCATGTTTTGACCAAGCGGGCCCGGGGGCGATTTTGGAATTTTTGGGAAGAAAGCTTGGAAATCTATAATTAGGCATTGGGTTTGATTTGTTTAGCATATATTGATATTATAAAGTCCTTATTGTATAGATTAGATTGAGTTGGAGCCGAATCCAAGAGGGAAAGCGGTTGTTGCGGATTGTTTTGGCCGTGGAAGTTGAGGTAAGTGTTTGGTCTAACCTTAGCTTGAGGGATTAGGAGTCGAGTCATATCTGCTACTTGTTTTGGTGCTGTGTACGACGTATAGGCATGGTGACGAGTATCTATACGTTGGTGTCGAGCATGACCGTTAGTCCTAAATTGCTAAATTGTTGTATTCCTAATTGTTTCTATGAGGACTTGGTTGAAGACCTTTGATGCTGAACAAATATGTAATTATGACTGAGTATTGGTGTTAATTGTGTTAAGTAGAAATTGAATAAGGTTGGTTATAGCTGGATCTCCCTTGTCGGGCTAGTTGATTTGATATTCTTGTTCCCTTGCCGGGAAAACATTATATTATCTTGTTCCCTTGCCGGGATTCTCTTTGTGATACTGTGTTGGGTAAAAATGGGAATGGGTGGTACGCCTACCACAAGAAATATGGAATGGGAGCGGGTGGTACGCCTACCACAAATGATATATTGAAATGGGAGCGAGTGGTACGCCTACCAAAAATGATATATTGAAATGGGAGCGAGTGGTACGCCTACCATGAATGATAATAGAATGAGAGCGAGTGGTACGCCTACCACGAATGATATTGAAATGGGAGCGAGTGGTACGCCTACCACAAGTGATATTGAAATGGGAGCGGGTGGTACGCCTACCACGAGTGA